CCAACAATGATATGGGAGCCCTGATTTCACCAGAAGGTTTGATTCTAACAACAATGTGTGAGCCACAATTTCACCAGAAGGTTTGATTCTTAACAATGATATGTGAGCCATAATTTCACCAGAAGGTTTGATTCTAACAATGATATGTGAGCCATGATTTCACCAGAAGGTTTGATTCAAACAACGATATGTGAGCCATAATTTCACCAGAAGGTTTGATTCTAACAATGATATGGGAGCCCTGATTTCACCAGAAGGTTTGATTCTAACAATGATATGTGAGCCATAATTTCACCAGAAGGTTTGATCCTAACAACAATGTGTGAGCCATGATTTCACCAGAAGGTTTGATTCTAACAACAATATGTGAGCCATAATTTCACCATAAGGTTTGATTCTAACAACAATGTGTGAGCCATGATTTCACCAGAAGGTTTGATTCTAACAATGATATGGGAGCCCTGATTTCACCAGAAGGTTTGATTCTAACAATGATATGTGAGCCATAATTTCACCAGATGAAATAAATTCAAGCAACTATGAGTGAGCCATAATTTCACCAAATGAAACAAATTCAAGCAATCATGTGTGAGCCATGATTTCACCAGATGAAATAAATCAAGCAATCATGTGTGAGCCATGATTTCACCAGATGAAATAAATTCAAGCAATCATGTGTGAGCCATGATTTCACCAGATGAAATAAATTCAAGCAATCATGTGTGAGCCATGATTTCACCAGATGAAATAAATTCAAGCAATCATGTGTGAGCCATGATTTCACCAAATGAAACAAATTCAAGCAATCATGTGTGAGCCATGATTTCACCAGATGAAATAAATTTAAGCAATCATGTGTGAGCCATGATTTTACCAGATGAAATAAATTCAAGCAATCACTTGTGAGCCATGATTTCACCAGATGAAATAAATTCAAGCAATCATGTGTGAGCCATGATTTCACCAGATGAAATAAATTCAAGCAATCATGTGTGAGCCATGATTTCACCAGATGAAATATATTCAAGCAATCATGTGTGAGCCATGATTTCACCAGATGAAATAAAATCAAGCAATCATGTATGAGCCATGATTTCACCAGATGAAATAAATTCAAGCAATCATGTGTGAGCCATGATTTCACCATATGAAATAAATTCAAGCAACCATGTATAAGCCATGATTTCACCAGATGAAATAAATTCAAGCAATCATGTGTGAGCCATAATTTCACCAGAAGGTTTGATTCTAACAATGATATGGGAGCCCTGATTTCACCAGAAGGTTTGATTCTAACAATGATATGTGAGCCATAATTTCACCAGAAGGTTTGATCCTAACAACAGTGTGTGAGCCATGATTTCACCAGAAGGTTTGATTCTAACAACAATATGTGAGCCATAATTTCACCAGAAGGTTTGATTCTAACAACAATGTGTGAGCCATGATTTCACCAGAAGGTTTGATTCTAACAATGATATGTGATCCATAATTTCACCAGAAGGTTTGATTCTAACAACAATGTGAGAGCCATGGTTTCACCAGAAGGTTTGATTCTAACAACAATGTGTGATCCATGATTTCACCAGAAGGTTTGATTCTAACAATGATATGTGATCCATAATTTCACCAGAAGGTTTGATTCTAACAACAATGTGAGAGCCATGGTTTCACCAGAAGGTTTGATTCTAACAACAATGTGTGAGCCATGATTTCACCAGAAGGTTTGATTCTAACAACAATGTGTGAGCCATGATTTCACCAGAAGGTTTGATTCTAACAATGATATGGGAGCCCTGATTTCACCAGAAGGTTTGATTCTAACAATGATATGTGAGCCATAATTTCACCAGAAGGTTTGATTCTAACAATATGTGAGCCATGATTTCACCAGGTTTGATTCTAACAACGATATGTGAGCCATAATTTCACCAGAAGTTTTGATGCTAACAACAATACGTGAGCCATGATTTCACCAGAAGGTTTGATTCTAACAACAATGTGTGAGCCATGATTTCACCAGAACTACATCTACAGTTCAGATTCTACCAGCCATATATTATATACCACAATTACGTACACCACCAAGTTACTCACCTTTTGATTCACAAGATCAGTAACCTTTGATAAATATTCTAATAAAAGTGTTAGTTTTTCTTTTGGTTCAGACCAAGTTGGATCCAAAGCCGCAGCTCTTGAAAATCCAATTATTGCTAGTTGGTACTCTTCTTGGTATTTATAAGCCTGTAAAACCAAATTGCAAAACAAACTATTTAGGTTTTGGAAGATGAATTTGTGGTGTCGGGCCCAATAAACACGCAGACAACAGGTTCGGTATACAAGCAAGGTTTACTTGTGTGTAATAACTAACGGAACTCACAAAGATGGCAGCCCTGTCCCAGAATCCCATCTGTTGCTAAGCAACCCAACTGATGGCGGGAATATGGCCATGCAAAGTACGATATATGTTTATACTATTAATGCTCAGACACAACAGAATTCATACTAGTAACATAATTATTTTAGTATATACCGGTACTGTAAAAACTCTATTAATTTGGAGTCTATATGAATTTGCACACTCAATTCATTTTCAAAGAATATTTATAGAAGCGACCTGACAATCGAAATAGCTCCACTGTCCTACAAGAAGATTGTGGTAGCCAAGTCAAGCAACGCACACCCATAAGACAAACAAAAGCTACATAAGATGTATATACTTACTATTGATCTGTTGTAATGTAAATCAGGATTAGAATTAGCTATACTGTCTCTTTCCTGCAATAATAAAAACAATGATGTATCAGAATCAGACCAGTGACCAGTCAGATGGTCAATGATTCCACACAGTCAGAAGACATGAGTTGGCTGTCAGATGGTCCAAAACTCCACACACTCAGAAATTATAAGTGAGCTATCAGGTGGCCTATGAGTCGACATACCGGTATTTCCATGTAACATTTGCTTTAATTTGTGCATGTTCTATATCACTTCAGGACCCAACTACAACTTGCTAACATCCAGCCATTCTAATACCTATGAGTTTAGGACAGACCCACTGTGTACTTACCCCCTGCGTGTATGCCCGTAAACACTGTACAAGTATTGCTGGATTCTGACCAGTCGAAAAAAATAGAGATAAATACGCATTCCCCAGAATAACTGCAAATAAGAAAAAAATATTTTATACCAGAAATAAATAAAGAGATATCTTACTTGTTAGAGCATTTAGAAATTTTACAAGCTATTAATTACTCATCAAATTTGGAATTTTTTTTATCATTTTCTGAATCTTAATGACACAGACTTATAAATGAACATTTAATTTTCAGTTTGGTCAAATCCAGTGAGTTTAATTAATACTTTCTGCCAGGTGGCAGTTCCTGACATTGAATATAACTGTTGCTTTTCCTGACTTTTTAAATATGTAAATTGGAAGTTCAAATGCAAAGGGCACATACATTTTGCCACAGTAACCATATTACGGTACATCCTTGAGACATTTGACAGTGTATGACCATTTTCCTATCATAAAGGCATTATTTACTTCACTATCACTGCAAATCAAGCCTGGTCAAACACAATAACCTGCGAACATTCCCTTAAAGTTGGCAACTTTAGCCACCTCATTGAGTTTGCACACTTAATCTATGATCCATGAACAAGCAGGGTGTTCAACCACAGGTAGGATTTCACATCTACCAAATATGAAACTGGCACAACAATGACTACACTACTACTGATACATTAAAATGACTTACACCATGATGTACCATCTGCAATGTCCATCTGTACTGCTTCTTTAGCAATCTCAACACTTTCCATTACATTTTTATTCTTTTCTTCTGCATCTGATGATCCTAACTGTCTGAGCACCATTGATAAATTTCGAAGCGATACCTTATTTCTTGACTAGAGATAACAAAGAAAGGTATTATACAACTTACAGTGAAAAGTTTTCACTGAAAATTTACCAAAATCTACTTGTATGGACACATTTTAAAGCATTAAAAAATCTAATCATCTGGTAAATTGTAATATACTCAGAATGGAAATTGCACAAAATAAGTTTTGCTGGCATTTGGGACTTTTTTCTCCAAAAAATTAAGGGAAAATCTTTAATAAAGTTATTTAGAGACTAGTGGGAATTCCTGCATATGATCCATTGTTGTAATAACCTCATACTGGTAAAGCACATGAAGCAAGTATATTGACGTCTGGATATGAACAGAAATATTTCCACACACTCAATACATGATTCAGAATAAAAAAATCTACTTTTTCTGTCTAGTGAAGCTTATATATGCCCCAATTACTATGCAAAATAAAAACAATCACCAATGTTTTTGAAACTAAAAGTATACCAGCTGAGATACTTTTACAGTACAAACACGGCAGTCTGTCCATACTCTGGCAAAAAAAGAACAGTTGCTTCATGCTCTTACAACAGTTTACAAAACATATAATATTGTCTAGTTATGATGTAGAAAATGGTAGTAGATAATCACAGTCCTTGGTAATAATTCAATATAACAAGATGTTTTGGTGCTTTCATCAGTTTATCTGAATATAGTGAGTGGTCACAAACAACAAAACAATACTAGTAGAGCCCTCGTAGCGACTAGGTTTACTTTGCCCTCTTACTCCATTCAGACATTGCCCAAAACGTCTGCTTATATTGAAAAATTATCAAGGACTATGATTACCTACTCTTAGTTTCTATATATTATATTTATTGGCTCTAGCAGCTGTCACAATTTTGTAATTCTATAGTTCCTAACACAGTTGGAATATACACATAGATGTGCGACTCACATGATTTAATGCTCCGACAAAACAGTTTTTAGCACCTTCAATATCTTTATTTTTCCAGTAACATTCACCAAGCTGGTTCCAAGCTTCCACAAGTTTAGGGTCTAATTTGACAGCTCTGGATAGGGCATCATCAGCACCTTGGTCATACCGAGGTAGAACATTCAATGTCTTACCTTGTAGCATAAGGTATGTAGCTTTGTTAGTAACTTTGTCTATGAAAGAAAAGAAATCATGTCTTCACACAAGTGTCTTTAGGTGTTTTGTATGGAATTTATTTTCACTGATTTCTGACTGAATGGATTTCTGAATTGAATGTGAAATATCGGATGGATTTTATTTTCACTGAATCATTATTTCAGTGAAAATAGCGAAAATTAATTCCAAGCGAAAATAAAGTATTTCACAGTACATGAAACTTTTAGGCACTACCTTGCAAATTGTTTAGAATTCCAAGAGCTCTTTCCATTTCCTTTTCAACATCTTTGGTTTTGTGAATTGCTCTAGCTAAATCGTTCTTTTCGAAGTAGTGGTCTCTAAATTCGTACAGTCTGTCCACGACTTCCTGAAATATTAGAGCAAATAAAAATTCTATAAAACTTTTTCAAAACACAACTGTAAACATAAAACAGAAAATATTATAATATCTTTTAATTACATACTCATATATTACCTTCCTACCAATCATAGTAGAAATATCCGTTGCCCACCCTCGGTTGTGACTGACTGTCCCTAAGCAACCCCAAGCTCAGACTTGTTTACAATCATTGGATCAACTGGCAATCAACTTAACAAACTACCGTGCGATTTAACTTTTTTCTTATCGATTAGCGGTCAGATGATATTGAGTAAAATTACGCGAGAATTGCGTTTGAATAAAAAGACAAAATAATTTTAAAGTGTACCTGAGCAGTTTGCAAAGCATCGTCGACTTTCAGGCTCTCCGCCATTATTCAATTTCTGAAGTAGAATGGTGAGACAATAGTTAGACACTCGTAGTACAAAGTTCGTTGCAAGGGACGCAGATAAACATGTGAATACAGCGAAATATTTGTCACGCAAAATTATAGGTTGATAGATATGACTGAATTAAGGTTATTAACTACATAATGGACTGGATTATCTGATGAAATGCATTAAATATATGGCGTTTATTTAACAAGCACTTTCGAAGTCACGATATGTGAATTTCTAGCTATAATTAGTACAATTAACAGAGATGGACGGTGTTAGTGATTCCCCGGTCGATTTGGCATGTGAAAGGGTAGGTAGAACTGTTCGAAGTCATTTTTCTGCCCGGATTATCTTTGTCGTATATTGAGATAGCTCGAAATCACACTTTCGAATAAGATTGTCTATTTATCCGACCGTTCCGTTGCTGGAGTCTACCACTGTTGTGGGTTTTTTGTGTGTGTCTCTTCACAATCAGAGAATATGGGGTGCAAGACACTGTGAATAAATTATGTACAGTCTATTCGAGTGATTAAATGCAGAAAGAAACAATACAGGAGATTGTTTCTTTTATTCTATCGTCTCGTCTGACAGAGACTGTTGACACATAAATAGTAAATCACGCAAAACCTGTAAATTGCGCCCTCCTATATCGAGTGCAAAAATTCTGGGTGTTAGTGTCCCAACTGTTTTACTGTTGAATGATCTGTTTTTTGTGTGTGGAAGATTTGGAAATGTTTTGTGAACCGCTCAATCCCATGGATTGCACCAAAGAATCATGGGACACTATTGTTTATGTTGTTTACAATGTTAATCTATCTTTTGTTATCCTTTGTTATTTTAATCCAGAAAGTAAATTTGTTGTGAAATTAAGCTTAACTGGAAGGTGCCCCTTTAAAGCACCAATCATTGCCATCCAGACAACTTAGCTACAAGAGGCTGGTATCTAGTATCTGATTGGTCAATCAATTTGATAATTCTTTGTTATCTTTGGTGTTGACACTGGCATTTCAAGGATTGTGTTTACCCTGAATTCTGCTTCCTGGGCGGGACACCTCATTATATGGAATATAAGTACAAAGATATGCAGAATGTAATGTCAGTTACATTGTAACATTCCTTAGGGGCTATATAAATTGGAACAAAATGATGATTGCTAGTTACCAGCAGCTATGTATATTACCGTTGATGTTTGTGGCAGGCACTAGGAACCAGTGAATATATTGTGACTAGCAGGGCCTCCTCATAAACACCCTATTGTACTTGATGTACCAGTAGTGCAATAATTTTTAGACGAGTACATCCTGATCATAGTTTTTTTTTGAGCATAATAAATAATAAACTATCTTTCTGTGTAGTGGTTTAACTTTGTCCTATGTGTAAGAGTAACGATAATTAAGGTGAACTTTCATATGACAAAAATTTGGGAGAATCATAACATTATGCGGCGATGATAATTACATGAAATTAAGTTGTTAAAAATGCCCCCAAATCATGAAAATTGATAGTGGTGACAGGTGTAGAGTTTTCAGTTCTCAATAATTGCCTGCAGTATAATGATGATAGAGTATCAACATATACATGTACCGGTAGTTGTTGTTGTCGTCATAGTTGTTGACTTCTATCTTGTAGTCAGAATTATAGTACTCAAGTCAGTTTTATCAAATCATTTTCAAAATTCTTGAAGGACACTGTGATAACAAACTAATTTATTACAATTTTGTTCTTCCCCACAGCATGTTGCCTGCTGTATATGTTATGGATTCTATGGACCATGCTTTGAGCAGCCATTGTGTGTTACATGTCATTCTTTCCTATATCCAGAAGATATTGAACAGCTTCCATGTATCACTGTCACAGAGGTGCGTATTTATATCTGATAACCTTTTGCTAAACTTTCACACCATGATTTTGATGAGTTCAATGTAAAAGTTTTTTTATCAGGAATTTTATTTTCATGATTTCATTCCTTCAGTGAAGATAAATTCCAAGTGAAAATGAAGAACATTTTGACCATTAACACTTATTTGCAAAAGTGCATGCACTACTAATAGAACAAATACAGTATTCAGAAATAAAACTTTAATATTCTTAATTCCTATTTTATTTGCAGACTGAGTCCGGTGGAGATTCAGGTACAGAGGAACCGACTGAAGAAAAGAACTGTACAGTGCTGCTGTCTCCAACGTCAGAGAGTTTGTCCAGTCGATTAATCGCTTTAACTGTTCATAAACAGGAAGACAAACCTCTCCAAGAAGGCATTGTAGATCTTTTACCAACTGAAGGTAAGGCTAGATGTCAATATCATATATATTCAGCAATTGTTTGTTGCGAAATAGTGAAACATAAATGCAATGATTATTATATATGGAAGTTACACATACCTGTGTAATGGTTGAATGTGTGCAAGTCAACCATATTGAAATCCATCCATGCATGCATGAAATCCAATTCCAGAGTGACAAAATGCTGAAATGTTGGTTTTTGTGTATTTTTAGCATGAAATGGGTACTAGTTGGCCATCTTGAATTAGATCACTAAACCAATACATATTCATATATATATCCCAATAACACTGTGGGAGTTATTGAGAGTGACTCTTGCAACAAAAATGATAGGTTTATGTATTTATTTGTACAATTGTAATGTTGCTTGGTAGTTGAAGTGAAGTTATTTTTTTGTACTGAAAGCCACAATTACAGCCTTGCGTTTTTCTTCTTGATTCTACTCTATTGTCTATTTTTTTTTCGCAGTTCTTGTAAAAATTTTCTCATATCTTGATGACATTTCATGGTCGACTCTTGACCAAGTGTGTGAAAGATGGAAAGCATTATCAGACAGCCTTAAAGAGCAGTGGCCATGGAAAGAGTTTGTTCGTGCCAGGTGGCCGCTGTTCAATCAGCAATACAGAGTGAAATGTTGGAAAACCATATTTGTGAAATTGTAAGTGACATTATTTTGTTATCATCTGGGTTCATGTTGTAATCGGGAATGTGTCTTTTATGCTAATATACTGTAAAACCATTTATTTTATTTTGTTTAAATTTCACAAAGGAAATAATGAATTTTATTGTTATTTTTCATGTTCATTTTCATGTAGATTTAATTTAGCTTATTTTATTCATCAGCAAAAATAAAAACCCTGTGATTAATAAATGTATTTACAGTACGTATACAATGGAAGAATTTATCCATTTTGTCCAAAATTAACAAAAGAAATTTAGAGAAAATTTTTTTTCCAAATTCAACATTTTTGATGAGGAAATAATGTTGAATTGGGTAAAGTCCCTTATCAGAATGTAAATTCACTACGTTCAATTACCCACCATAGACTCCGGTCAGTCAAAATGACTATTTTAAACTGTAGGCATTAATCAGCGACTCTGCCGGTGACTGAGAGATAGAATCCAGGTCAGGGGAAGCCCCATGATCTCAAGATTCTTTTACCCCTTACGTCACGAACCCATGTGACCGAGGCCACCTGGCAGCGCCACAGGTAGCCGTCCATCACTCTTAATTTCTCTCTGCCTCGAGTGGAGATGAAATCTAGCGAGCTCTGCTGGATCGCCTGATTTTTTTTTTCCTGTCCGGATTTATAGCTTGGGTTGTTGCCGCTGCACGGCATCCGACATTGTAGCTGGTAGGATAAGTTTTCCTTGTCATTTTTACCCTCGTGTCGTTTTCCCCTTTGTGTGTAGTATTTTTCACAACAAAGAAATTAAAATCCGGCGCCACTACGTAACAAGTTGGTTTTCATGGCGGCACCTTTTACAACTGTAATTCGTTTCCCTCATGCATGTCGTCTTTTATTTTCAATGTATTTAGCAATATATAAATGTAATGACAGCACCAGGGCTCGCTGCCCTTTTCTTTCCGGTCCCCTCGCGTTTCGAGTCGA